TATTTGGGACTCTTAAGCACAAATTGAACTACAAGTTGGCAATGCTCAAGACAGTTTCCTGTAAGGGATTTCTGCCTTCTTCCTACAATGACAGCAGATTCATGTCAGATACCATACAAAAAAACTACAAGAGAAAAATAAAAACAAAAGGAAACAAACAATCCAAACCATTAACTGGATGTGCAGTTCTGTTTGAAAAAGTGAGTATTTCGCAACATATTTTGTGCCCTTTTCTTTCTGCAGAAGTAAAACCTTCTCCACTTCCATCTGCAATGGTACTACCAAATGTGTAAAGCCAATGAACTTCTTTTCATAACACAACAAAAAGTTCAGTATGTGCAGCCAGGTGTAAACTGAACTAACATTTAAACTCTCATTTAACTTCTGCTAGACGCATTAACAGCAAGATGTCACCTATTCAGTGCTTAACAAAACTACATCTGATACTACTGGATTTGCACACAAGGTAAGACTTCTTTAGAGCTTATACGTTATGTAACAGAAGGTATTTTAACTTTTTCTTGCTAGTGAAGAGATTTTAAATAGTGCTGTCCAGTTTTACATTTATTCACTTGTCTACACATGCTTTTTGAACAGCAATGTTCAACAGCAGTTTTGAGACACTGTCCTGAAATCTAGTTGTGTGATCCCTCTGTGAAATGTTTCCCCATGTGACCAGGATACACGCTCAGCAACGCAGGTGCACTTCTGCAACTAAAAGTTGGAAGACTTACTTTTTTAAAAGCAAACTCATTTAAAAGAAGGAAAACACACAAACGAACAAAAAGGATACGCAGTTCCTCTGATGCGCTTGATTTTGCCAGGGTCTGTGAACTGAATAGGCTGCAAGACCTTCCTTACAGGGCAAGAAAACAGTATCTCTCCACCCCCTTTGGGAGGCATTCCTCTCCGGTTGATCTAGAAACAATAATGGAGAAAAAAAGCAGGTTAGTAAAGAGTACAAAGAATGTACCTACACACACAAAAATTACAGCTTTTATTTCACATAGAATAAAACATTTTAACTAGGGGCATTATGTGAACATAGGCAAGAAAAACACACCCTAAAGGCAAAAGTGGATTGTGCACCAAAACTAAAAGCAAGAATTGATTTTTTTTCCCTCCTCTCTCAAGCCTAGTAAGGCATGGCTTCTCAATAAAAAACAAAGCAAAAACAACCAAACACAAAAAAACATCTTTACCAAAGCAACCTTGGCTTAACACTGGTCACTAGTGGCAAATCTGTATCTCACTGCTGAAGGAACACAGGAAGAGTTTGATGACTTTTATATGGAGGACCAGAATGAATTCATTCCCATCAACATGTCTGTCCAGCCTGACTCTGTCCCACCACCCCAGCCAACACCCACAAGGATGGAACTCAGACATGGGCCCTGAGTGGGTCTGGCTCAGGGAACCCCTGTCCAGACAGGGCAGGCCTGTGGTGAGAGCTGGAGACTGGTCCTAATGCGGGATCACTGGAGTAGGGGTTAATGGTCCCAGGGCAATGACATGAGGACGTGGGCTGTGGGCAAGACGGGGAAGCACCCAGGGTGAGGACTGTCAGAGCAAGGCACTAGCAGGCCCTGGTAGTGCAGCTAGGGCCTTCAAACATTTAAAATGAGTGTTCTTAACTATGAAAAGCTACAGATTCTTTCTCCAATCTAAAAAAAATAAAATAAAATCTATTTGACATTGAGATATATTTGGCCTGTGAAGTCTTTAAAGAAAAGCTTCTTTCCTGTATTTTCCAAACTGGAAGCAAACCTCAATCACCCAAACAGAGATCCAGCTCCTCATGAGTGAAGAAAGCAAACAATTCCATTACCACGCCCAAGCTACAAGGATGGGACAGGAAAAGCAAATAGAAATCAAAAGATATCAAATGAACTGAAAAGCAACAAGAACGCAAAATGTTTCTTAGTCTTCTCTGGCGACTAAAAAAAGATACTACTTTCTCCTTACCCTCTCTACCCTTATCCTTTGCATCTCTCCTAATACAAGCACTGCATGGCTTGTATGCCATTTAAAACATCTCAAGAACAAGGGACAATTTTAGAAACATGTATAGCCACAGCTAGATTATCTGTTAAAACAGGAGCTCACAGCAAGCATATGGCCCTGTGAAGCAGTGCAAATGCATAACTTCAACATGTGCTAGAAAAGAAAGGAACAAACTTTCTTACCTTGATCTCCAGACTTTCACCATCAATCCCAAACTTCTTCAGTAGGGGTAGAGCTGTTGCCTTAAGGACATCAACCTATGGAACACAGAATTTAAAAAGTAGACTTGTGGCATGTTGGCCTGGCTGGACGCCAGGCACCCACCAAAGCCACTATATCATTCAACTCTCTGCACATGGACAGGGGAGAGAAAAAGCTGTAATGAAAGGTTCATGAGTTGAGATAATGACAGGGAATGATCACTGAACAAATACTGTCACGGGCAAAACGGACTCAGCCTGGGGAAACTGAGTGATTTTATTACTAACAGGATCAGAGCAGGATAATGAGAAAATAAAACAGAGCTTAAAAACACGTTCCCCCACCCCTCCTTCCTTCCCAACTCTACCTCCTCCCCCGCAGCGGCACAGGGAGATGGGGAGTGGGGGCTGCAGTCAGTTCATCACACATTGTTTCTGCCAGTGCTCTCAGGGAGAGGAGTCCTTCCCCTGCTCTAGCATGGGGTCCCTCCCACCAGAGACAGCTGTTCACAAACTTCTACAATGTGAGCTCTTCCCATGGGCCACAGTTCTCC